TGACGTCATGGTTTGGGTTGTTGGCGACGCACTTGCAAAACGCTTGAATGTATCCCAGCTCCTGCGCCGTGGTCGCGCATTCCAAACTGCTGAGCACCGTAGTATTCTCAGCTGATTTGCGATGCATCATGTTTGGGTGTGCTGAGCAGATCGCTGCCAGGTCCTGGATGAAGTCGCACATGAGATCGTGCGGCTTCTCCACGTAGCTGCTGCTGTTTTGGATGCGGCGGTGCAAGCGTTTCGCATCTGATGGCCTCATAGCAGCAATTGCGGCCACCAATTCGGAAGGCCCCGTGCGACCACCACAACACTGAAAATAACGAGATCTGCCAAATCCCCCGAGGCGAAGTTTAGCAATGCATTTACGAACGCTGGAAGAGAATGCCGTCGCCCTTGCATTGGATGCTTGCTCGACCTTGAGGGCAATGTGCAGCAGGTCTTTGCTGGCGCATTTCAGGTTAGGAAACGCGGCGCGCAACTGGCTGGACTTATCTAAAGACGCAGGAAAGTCGGAGCAAATCATCTGCACCTTCTCCGCATCCACTCTGCGAACCGAATTCCGAAGAGCGCGCGCCTGCTGGACGGGGTCTTCCGAACTGGAACCGAAAATCTCGAGTATGCTGTCGTTGCACTGGACAGTAATAAGAACGCGCAATGGATGCCGATCTCGCCCTGGAGCTGCGCCTTGCTTCTGTCCGTGCGAAACTTGGCGCAGCACAGACATCAATGACTTGTGGAACCCATCCACGCCCAAGACGCGGACGTCGCAAGCCGCGCGGCATCTTTCCACGGCACGCCGGACACTGATGTGATTGGCCATCTTCTCGTTTAAAGTATGGTAGAACGCTTCCCCGGTCGGGGGCAAATGCGATTTGTCGCCCGACTGAGCAACGAGAAAAGAAACTATCCGCTGCGTAGCCCCCTTCGCATTCGGGTGAATCATGGCAGCGAGGTTAGCGTTCAGGAAAACGCCAGCGCAGTAAAACTTGTCGGCGCCTTGTGGTACCTGTTGCAATCCTCCGTTAGCACATACTTTGCGCTCGCGGAGTCCAACAAAATGGTGATTTGTTTGTCCAACCGCATCACATCACAAGCGAGTTGGTCTTCCCACTGCGACCACGAGGGGCTCTCCTCCAATTGAGATCTGATGCCAACTACGCAGCGATTCACAATGTTTCCAGCAGAGATCTGACCATCGCGTCCGCGCAGCTCGTTAAAGCGGGACCGTGATACCATCTGGTCTCACTGCCCACTGACATCGGATTGCATTTGTTCTGAAATAATGCTGCAGCGAGCTTTAATATGATATCTGCTCATGTGCGTGATCAAATAACGTTTCTCGCTGAAGCCCCTGGCGATGCACATAGGGCATCCCCAGTTATGCGGAGAACCGAACTCGGCGTAGTCGCCCATGCAACCAGTTAGGCTCCACCAGTGAAGAGCCTCCTCTCGCACTGCCGAAGCCAATCCCTCAGGCCACCGATCTGATTTCACGCCCACTTGACCTAGGGCTGTAGCTGCTGAGCCCCCGCTGGGAGACGCAGGCCGCTTCTTGATGGTTTTCCGGGCCCCTGTGCCACAAAGCGAGTCGCGCCCCAGAGATCGGCGTTGGCGATCGGGCTGCTCGCTCTGCAAATGAATCATGAAGGCTTTCTTCAACCCGTGCCTGAGATCACAAACCAAGGTGTTGAAGGCGGCTGCAGAGACCATCTCGGCTGCACCGCGTTGGAAACTGACGAGCGCGCACTTACCGACGTGGAAAGCGAAGGCGTGGCCCGCCCCGTCGGCAATGACGTATTTCCATATCGAGAACAGCGCTTCTGGGGCGCAACCAGTAACTGCGAGCCCGGAAGGGGCGAGCATCCTTGTGCCCCCACTCGCAATCCACTCTGGCCCGTGACGGTCGACAACTACATCGAACCCATGATCGTGCAATGCCTGGACGCGAACTGAGTGGACACTTGCAGACGCGCGGCAGCTCGGCGTAATTAAGCGAACAACAGTAACGAAACCGCAACACATCCAAAACGATACGGCAGTCTTTGGAAAAAGAGCCGTTTGATAAGGGTTTTAAGGTATCGCGACGGACGGACGGCCACCTGGGGACACCCACCTCTCCTCTCCTTCTCTCTCCTCTCTCTCTCTCTCTGTCTCTCGTTTCCGTTAGGATTCTATCATAGGAGGAAGGCGTATTACACATTGATTTCTTTTGCGGAGGATGACAATCGGATTCCTTTTTGTGAAGGCTTACAATAGGATTCCTTTTGTGGAGCATTACGATAGGATTCCTTGTGTGGAGCATTACAATAGGATTCTTTTGTGGAGGATTACAATAGGATTCCTTTTGTGGAGGATTACACTGGGATTCCTGTTGTGGAGGATTACAATAGGATTCCTTTTGTGGAGGCTTACAATAGGATTCCTTGTGTGACAGATTACATGTTGATTCCTTTTGTTGCGGATTACAATATGATTCTTTTGTTGAGGATTGCAATGGAATTCTTTGTGTGGAGGATTACAATAGGATTCCTTTTGTGGAGGATTACAATAGGATTCCTTTTGTGGAGGATTACAATAGGATTCCTTTTGTGGAGGATTACACTAGGATTCCTTTTGTGGCGGTACTTGGGAGAAACCTAGGAGGAGGAAAAAAAAAAACAAGAAAACCAATGAAATCATGAAAATTACAAGTTTTCAATGATTTTCCATGTTTTGCAAAGGAAAATACGAAAACACAGCATTTTCAGCTCTCCGGAGCCGAAAACATATAAAAGCATAGCGTTTCTAGCTCCCTGGAGCGAAAAACATATAGAAACATAGCGTTTTCAAGCCCCTGGAGGCGAAACCATATTAAAACACAGCGTTTCGGCTCCAGGGGCTTGAAAACGCTGTGTTTTTTATATGTTTCTCGCTCCAGGGAACTAGAAACGCTGTGTTTTTATATGTTTTCGGCTCCGGAGAGCTGAAAATGCTGTGTTTTCATATTTTTTCTTTGCAAACCATGGAAAATCATTGAAAACATGTAATTTTCCTGATTTCATTGGTTTTCTTGTTTTTTCTAATTTTTTTCTTTTCTTTCTCCTCCTAGGTTTCTCCCAAGTACCGCCACAAAAGGAATCCTAGTGTAATCCTCCACAAAAGGAATCCTATTGTAATCCTCCACAAAAGGAATCCTATTGTAATCCTCCACAAAAGGAATCCTATTGTAGTCCTCCACGAAAGAATCCTATTGTAATGCTCCACAAAAGGAATCCTAGTGTAATGCTCCACAAAAGGAATCCTATTGTAAGCCTTCACAAAAGGAATCCGATTGTCATCCTCCGCAAAAGGACTCAATTTGTAATACGCCTTCCTCCTATGATAGAATCCTAACGGAAACGAGAGAGAGAGAGAGAGAGGAGAGAGAGAAGGAAAGGAGAGGAGAGGTCCGTGTAAGCAAAGACATCACATCGTTAAATAGAACCATATTTTGACCTTACCCTCCCTCCCCCTCCCCCTCTCCTCCTCCGCCTCCTCCGCCTCCTCCTCCTCTTTCGCCTCCTCCTCCTCCTCCTCCTCCTCATCCTCCTCCTCCCCCTCTCTCCCCCCTCTCCTCCCCTCTCGCAGCCTCCGCCCGCCCCTGCTCCCCTCGCTCCATTCATGGCTCCATTGTGCTCCATTATGCGCATTCTCATCCCCGCACCCCTCCTCCGAACATTTCTGGCGGTCTCCAAAGGCCTCCTGAGGTCTCCGGGGGTTCCCCGAGCCCTTTGGTGGCCCAAAGGGGGAGCCAAAGACATCCGAAAACACACACCCTCAAGAGGAAAGCAAAAGGACACCAACGTAAACTTTCGGAGCTCCGCTCCAGTCTCTCAGATCGGCGCTGAACCCCCCTCCCTGGCGCGCGGGCGCGCGGAGCGCGCCAGGGCCAGAAGCGCTGGCCAAGGGGCCCCAGCGCCGACCCAAGACATCCGCGCGGACCTGCACAGATTACAAGTTGATGCAGCTACTCCACTTCGACTCCTGGACAAGAGCGGCGGACGAAATGCCCAGCGGACGAGACGAGAGAGGACAAAATGAGAAGGGGACGAAACAGAAGGGGACGAAGCGAAAGAGGAAGAAACAAAAGAGGACGAAACGAAAGAAGACGAAATCCTCGCGGATCGCTCCTTGCTCCCCCTACCTCCCCCCTCGACCCCGACTCCCCGCTCTCGGCGGCGAGCCCGGGGGGAAAGTGAGGAAGGGCGGGCCTTCTTAGAAGGCTCGGAAGCACTCCGACCTTCTGAACAGTTTTCTAAGCCTTCTCCGAAGATACACAAAAAGCCTCTCAGAAGGCCAGAGGCCTTCTGAGAAGCCCCGCCGCCTTCTGAGGAGGCCTTCTCCTTCTCGCTGCCCCCCTCGCTCGTCGCCGACCAGTCGCTCGAGACATCCTCGAGCCCATTCTCTATGATTCGCGAATGCGCACGTGACAGGCCCAGACGGCGCCGGCGCGAACCGTGACGTGACCAGCCCCCTCCCCGCCTCGCCCCGTGTTCCCTGTTCCTGGTCACGCCCGCTACTGCCAGGGGGTGGGAAAGCGGTCTCCTCGGAGAAGGACTCAACTCCCCAAACCACGTGATGCGCCTCAGAAGGTGTGCTAGCACCAGCGTGCGTCTGTCCATGGAGGCGCTTCTATACACGTGGAGCTGAACGGCGTAAGCACACATGTGCGGCTAACACACGCCCTGAGGACCATCGACGCCGACTCACCACGCGGTGTGGTCACCACGACGTCGGTGGGGAAGGCAAAAGGTGCCAATGCCACTACTCCCCCAAACTCTCCCCGGGTGCGATCTGACCAGGATTTCGATGCGAATTCAGCGGTGGCGACGAGGGCCCCCCAGGAGGCCCAAAAGGGGGAAAGCGAGGGAAGGGAAGCGGTATGGGAACCTGTTCCTCCTCTGAAGCACACGCCCTGAGCACCATCGACGCCGACTCACCACGCGGTGTGGTCACCGCACCGCCTGAGACCCCCGAGGCGCCCTCGGCTCTGCGCATGCAGCAACGCTGCAGCCGCGCGCGCCCCATAGGGCTCGGAGGGTGCCCCGGGGCACCTCCGCGCGGACTCTCGGCGGCACGGCCGTCGCAAGGTGCGGGGCTCGAAGCTCGAGGCTACTTCGGATGGCTCCGTGAGTCCTCGGCGACGGCGACGGCGACGGCGACGGCGACGGCGACAGCGACGGCGACGGCGACGGCGACGGCGACAGCGACGACGACGACGACGACGACGACGACGACGGCGACTTTCCTACCTCGGGAGGCTCTCCCCAGAGATCCGAGGTTCCGGAAAAATTACAGCCTCGGGGGGTCCTCATGAGGACGAAAAGCCGGCCCTATAGATGGAAGGAGTCCAGACCTCCGTGGGTCCACGCATCGAGAAAACTGAAGCGCCGGATGTCTGGGTCCAGCAGCTGCGACTCGTCGAAAGCGTTCTGGGGGGTAACTGGATCGTCCTGGACAGCTGCCAGAGAGCTGGGCTAAATGACCCGAAAACAATTGATTTCTACACTTAGGTCAGGCATGTCCTCCTACAGGCGGGCTTTGAACGAATAAACAAAAATATACCTGAAATGCGCAACACACATCCAAAATTATTCGAACCTCCCTGACTATGTTTAACTATCTCTGGATATTCCTCCTGAAGAGGGACATGCCCGACTTGATTCTACACGCCACCACCGTGCCATGTCAGGGGCCATCCTGGGCAAAGGCCCTGGCGTGGTGCCCGCGCCCTCCCGGTCGAGGCCGCGCGGGCCCGAGCACAGGCCTGGGGCCCGGGACGGCCCTGGCCGTGCTGTGCAGAAAAGTCTTGCGGTCGGCCGCGGCACCGCTCACAGACCTCTCCTCCTCCTCCT